TTCCAATGCTTAATATTTTAAGATAATGATAAACAAAAGTAAAATGAAAAACTATAGGATTTAAAGTTCATAACCTCAATGCCATTATAATGATATGTAGTGTTTAAAAGACGAGTAGGAGTGTTTTATCAGGTATAAAAGCACGAGGCGTAGCCGAGTGCTTTTATACCTGATAAAACACGATCTACGAGTTTTTTGAACTGCTTAAAACACTCATGAACAATTTATAAGATTTTGGTTCAACTGGAGCCACCATACACGTCACGAACATGGATTTTTATACTTTGATAGAGATTTGACGTCACGGGCATGCGCAACCAGATTCAATAGAAGCTCCCACATGTTGGATATTGCGTGCCAAGGCAAAGACAGGCACGTTAGTCAAAGATCATTAGAGTTGACTATGACCTTGATGAAGCTCTATGTCTTCATCTAAACTTGGATGTATACTTCATCCCTGATGAAGTCATCCTCATAGTATTCGAGTGGTCTTTATATAAAGATCACATGTGTCTTTATATAAAGAGACATGTGTCTTTATATAAAATCACTTGAATACTAATAAAGAGGACTTTATCGGTTATAAAGGTTCATGCATGTGACGTGTATGGTGGCTCCAATTGGACCATAAGCTTATGAATTATTAATGAGTGTTTTAACTATTAGTAGAGTGCACGCACTAAATCCGTGAACATTAACTAGTACTAATTAGTACTATTTCATACAGAATCCTTTGTTTTCTATTGTTTATTTATCACCATTTAGTACTAAAAGTTAGTTTGTTTCACGGGTTTAGTGCGTGCACTCTAACATGCCCTTATTTGATAGTAAGTTATATCTGGAGGGTTCCCTGATACTTATTAAATCTTTGAGATACTGTGGAGCGATACCATATAAAGATTTAAATACAATTATAGCAATCTTAAATTCAATGCAAAATTTTACTGGGAGCCAATGAAGCCTTATAAGTGCTGGAGTATTTCGATACATTGAAAACAAGACGAGCTGCTGCATTCTGCAGGCGCTGTAGCTTAGTTAAATGGACAGCAGGGACGCCATGCAATAGGCTATTACAGTAGTTTACGCATGACATTATGGTCGCTTGAACAATCGCCTTCCTATTTTCATATGATATTAAGTACTTTCTAGAGTGCACGCACTAAATCCGTGAACATTAATTAGTACTAATTAGCATACTATTTCATACAGAATCCTTTGTTTTCTATTGTTTATTTATCACCATTTAATACTAAAAGTTAGTATTTGTTTCACGGGTTTACTGCGTGCACTCTAATTCTCCTGATGTTATGTAGATGGTAGTATACTGACTGACAAATTTTATTTTTGTGGGTGGTAATACTAATGTTTGAATCAAAATGCTGCACTGAGATCCAATAGGACCAAAAGAGTAACTCGCTGGTTGTCCATGGCAGACAAGATATCATTAAATAATGCTGTTTCCGTACTGTGCCCTATGCGGTAGGCCGATTGAAGGATAGGGTAAAGTCCTATTTACAAGTCCTACAGCCGATAATTACTATGTTAATTACTAATTAATTTGTAATTATTTGTATTATTTGTTATGTGTACTGATGATTTATGTTTGTTAATAAATAAAATAATATTAAAAGAAAAGAAAAAAAGTCCTACAGCCGAGTCTAGAATTTTTGAGTAGGAGGGGAGGGGAGGGGGAATGACAAAATCAAGAAAATGCACCTTCTTAGCAATTCATATTTCCAACTCCCCTTAGATACCATAACTATGTGAATAATTCGGCATTTAAAACTCTGATCGCTTCCCTGTTAGCAGAGTCTCCTAGGGCGGATCCAGGGGGGGCAAAGGGGGGCTGAAGCCCCACCCTTCAGCAGAAAAAAACGATGCTTTGTTATATTGTTTTCCTTCGTGTTGAAGGAAGAAACTCAATAGCCCCCCCTGTACTTGAGGTGGTGATAAGTGACGACGAGTTTTTGCTTTGCTTTGCTTTGCTTTGCTTCGCTTCGCTTCGCTTCGCTTCGCTTCGTTTCGTTTCGTTTCGTTTCGTTTCGTTTCGTTTCGTTTTGTTTCGTTTCGTGCGTAAGGAATATACCTACTACGCGTACGGAACAATACGAGTTGATTAAGATGACGCGGTTTTTTCTGAATAGCTGAATATTTTAATCCGCAACCGAGCCAAGGCTGAGAAAAAGATATCTTGAAACCGGAGTACTTGGACATATGTGATCAGCATGTGACCTCGTCCTTTTTTTCCTTAAGTTATTATCATCTCGCATCCTGTTTCCATGCACCTAGACAGATCATTATTGTAGTACGTTCTCATGAACCCCTAGACGTCATTCACCATTTTAATTTCAATACATCGGTTTACTGGTCAAACACGAAGCATTCAGTCAAGGTTGCAAGGTTCAAATTTGAATAATCCTTTGAAAGTACCTTGGCGCCTCGCTTGAGCGCTTTGTGTTTAACCAGAGAACCGAGGGATGTATGGAATGTGGTGATATTACACTAACAATCTTTTCTTTCGTTTTAACGCAAAGAGAAAAAGGGGGAGCTGAGGGCTACAACCATTTTTTAAAAAGCTGACTGCTTACCCCCCAACCCTCCCCTCCAAGAAAAAAATCATTTTAGCTTCTCTAAAACAATTCTTCCTCGGAAATAAACTCAAAAGTAACTTTATCCATGAAGCTATCTGATACCGTTATAAACTACGGGCGTAATCAAAAGTATTATTATATTCTACGCTTCACGCGCGACTTAACGTATTGCTTATTCTCCGAGCACAGTCATGGCAGGCCATCTAAACCCCTTCATTACCAAGCTAAAGAAGGATTTGACTTGTACTATCTGCAAACGATTCTTCAACGGTCCTACCACACTGTCGTGTCTTCACAGCTTTTGCTCAAAGTGCCTCATCGACTGGAACAAAACATGCAAAGAGGGACGACAACGATTTTCTTGTCCGATATGTAAAAAGCCAATCGATGGTTCAGGGATTGATATGTCCAAACCCCGCATTTCGTTTTATCTTGAATCTCTAATAACTCTGGTCTCTTCAATAGAGGGCAAATCAAAACAAGGATCGCAGCCCCCTGAATGCGTAAGTTGCGAGAAGGCTATTGCTTTAGTGGCATTTTGTCAGCATTGTGGTGGTATGGTTTGTGCAGATTGTGTAGAAACCCACAAGGCTATCAAACAACTACGAAGAGAACATTGCATTATAAAGTTTGACGAATTCAAGGAAGAAAATCTCGATTCCTTCGTCAAAACCCAAATGTACTGCAAAGTAAACACACACCAGAAAAACAAATTAGAAGTGTTTTGCAGAGAAGTGACTTGTAGACGATTTATTTGTCAGAAATGCTGTGCTCTAGATCATAAAAGTCATAATAAGGTTAGCATCCTGGAGGAAACTAAAAGCATCAAGCAAACGCTGCGCCAAGACATGAAAGAATTGAATAAAGTGGTAGAGAAATACAACCAGGAAAAGGAAAAGATCAGAGAAAGTATGGCGACAATTCAAAGCCATTTTGAGAGTGCTAAAAAGAGCGTTCGTGGCGTCGCGGAAACGGCCTTCAAGCTGATTATGGACCATGAGAACGAAATGATAAAAGTGCTGAACGAAAAAGAGCGTATGCAGAAGTCAGAGTGTCTAAGATTACAGGGAAAAATAAATAGTGAACTGCAAAATGTCTCTGAAATCCAGCTTCAATACCAGTGTTTGTTGGAGAACGACGTCTCTCTTGAAATTATAGAAAAGCAGAATTTCCTACAGAAAAAATGCAACACGATTCTGGACAAGGAAGCAATGCTACAAAAGAAGCCGATGCTCAAGAGGGGAAACGTGACAGTAGATTACGTGACAAACCCAGAAGTAATGCAATCTTTACAAAATATTGGAAAGCTTGTCGAGACAAAGCCATTGGATCCTTCACGTTGTACCATTGAAGCACTTAAAGAGGTTCGAAACGGTTATTTCAATGAGCTCGAGTTTGAAATTGTCACGCGTGACTGTGACGGTGAAGTATGTTGCGTGACAGGAAATTTTGAGATCAGAATCATTGATCAAGAAGGAGACGAAATCGAAAAAAATGCAGCAATAAGTGAAGAGAAAGGAAAATACCGGGCAGTTGTGACATACAGGGCAGAGAAAAAATCACCTTGCGAAATCCAGGTGAATATTGGTGGAAAAAGAATCAAAAACTCTCCACAAATTGTAAACATGAAATGATAATAAAGCAATAATAATAATAATAATAA